CAGGACGTCAGTTTAGGGGACAGCACAGGGGACAGTACAGGGGACAGTACAGGGGACAGCACAGGGGACAGTACAGGGGACAGTACAAGGGACAGTACAGGGGACAGCACAGGGGACAGTACAGGGGACAGTACAAGGGACAGTACAGGGGACAGCACAGGGGACAGTACAGGGGACAGTACAAGGGACAGTACAGGGGACAGCACAGGGGACAGTACAGGGGACAGTACAAGGGACAGTACAGGGGACAGCACAGGGGACAGTTCAGGGGACAGCACAGGGTACAGTACAGGGGACAGCACAGGGGACAGTACAAGGGACAGTACAGGGGACAGCACAGGGGACAGTTCAGGGGACAGCACAGGGTACAGTACAGGGGACAGCACAGGGGACAGTACAAGGGACAGTACAGGGGACAGCACAGGGGACAGTTCAGGGGACAGCACAGGGTACAGTACAGGGGACAGTTCAGGGGACAGCACGGGGGACAGTACAGGGGATAGTACAGGGCACAGTTCAGGGGACAGCACAGGGGACAGTATAGGGGACAGCACAGGGGACAGTTCAGAGGACAGCACAGGGGACAGTACAGGGGATAGTACAGGGCACAGTTCAGGGGACAGCACGAGGGACAGTATAGGGGATAGTACCGGGCACAGTTCAGGGGACAGTACAAGGGACAGTACAGGGGACAGTACAGGGGACAGCACAGGGGACAGCACAGGGGGTCAGTTTAGGGGACAGCACAGGGGGTCAGTTTAGGGGACAGCACAGGGCACAGTTCAGGGGACAGTACAAGGGACAGTACAGGGGACAGCACAGGGGACAGTACAAGGGACAGTACAGGGGACAGTACAGGGGACAGCACAGGGCACAGTTCAGGGGACAGCACGGGGGACAGCACAGGGGACAGTACAAGGGACAGTACAGGGGACAGCACAGGGGACAGTACAAGGGACAGTACAGGGGACAGACAGCACAGGGGACAATACAGGGGACAGCACAGGGTACAGTACAGGGGACAGCACAGGGGACAGTACAAGGGACAGTACAGGGGACAGCACAGGGGACAATACAGGGGACTGCACAGGGGACAGTTCAGGGGACAGCACAGGGGACAGTACAGGGGACAGTACAGGGGACAGCACAGGGGACAGTACAAGGGACAGTACAGGGGACAGCACAGGGGACAGTACAGGGGACAGCACAGGGGGTCAGTTCAGGGGACAGCACAGGGTACAGTTCAGGGGACAGCACAGGGGACAGTACAGGGGACAGTTCAGGGGACAGCACAGGGGACAGTACATGGGATATAGTACAGGGCACAGTTCAGGGGACAGCACGGGGGACAGTACAGGGGATAGTACAGGGCACAGTTCAGGGGACAGCACGGGGGACAGTACAGGGGATAGTACAGGGCACAGTTCAGGGGACAGCACGGGGGACAGTACAGGGGATAGTACAGGGCACAGTTCAGGGGACAGCACGGGGGACAGTACAGGGGATAGTACAGGGCACAGTTCAGGGGACAGCACGGGGGACAGTACAGGGGATAGTACAGGGCACAGTTCAGGGGACAGCACGGGGGACAGTACAGGGGATAGTACAGGGCACAGTTCAGGGGACAGCACGGGGGACAGTACAGGGGATAGTACAGGGCACAGTTCAGGGGACAGCACGGGGGACAGTACAGGGGACAGTTCAGGGGACAGCACAGGGGACAGTACAGGGGACAGCACAGGGGACAGCACAGGGGACAGCACAGGGGATAGCACAAGGGGAGCAGAGGAAGAATCCAGACTAGAAGTGACTGAAAAAATAAATGAGAGATGAGGAAATAGAGATTAAATCAAATTTAAAATTTAGTTTTAACTTATCACTAAAAACATAAAGCATGGGCAACCCTGTGGCGTGATGCTTCAACACATGTAAGCACTGTGTAATGTTTGTCTCCCTAAACATTTGTCATTTCTTTATGGTGTTAACATTGAAAACTAAAACCCCTTTCTTGTAGGTGTTTGAAACACACAGTATTTTATCATTGTCTGAGTTGCCAGACTATAAAAATAGTATTCTGGGACTTTACTTGGTTGTAACTTATCAGTTAAAGTTTTAAGCAAGTTTTGCTATGAGGGGAAATGGAATTGAAGGGAATTAGATTGAGGAGAATACAAGGCCCTGGAACACAGTATCTTGCCGATGCTAACCAAGAAAAACATTTTAGAAAAGAGGGCAGATTTATGTGGAGGGAGATTTTAAGGATAAGTGGTATTTTTATTTTCCATTGTTTAACAAAGACTTTTTTATTAGCTTACAAAGAGTTAGGTTTCTTTATGACATTTTGTCCAACAAACTCTGTTTTTGCTGGGTCTCTCCGCACTGTTCAGCCCCCTCCCTCTTTTTCCTGCACCTTCTAACCCCTAATAGCCTCTTTTTGGCTTTCATATCACTTGTGACTTTGCGTTCTCCCTTTCTCAACACTTCTTGTTCCCCTCTGGCTCTCCTCCATAGCTTCATAGTCTATACAGACTCTCACGGTTCCTCACTTACACACATACATACATATGTACGTACATATACGAAAACCCAGGATCCCTATATGAGAGAGAACATGATATTTTTGTCTTTCTAAGACTGAGTCACCTCACTTCATCCAGCACCTTCCAGATCTATCAATTTTCCTACAAATTTCATTTAAATTCCACACAGCTGAGTAGAATTCCACCGCGTATATATACTACGTTTTCATTTTCTATTCTTTTGGTGATGAGCATCTAGGCTGGTTCTGTCTCCTTGCTGTTGTGAATAACGCAACAATAAACATGGTTGTGTAGGTATCTCTGTGGGTACATTGCTAGGGGAAGCAGCTGGCTGGTCAGTTCTCTGAGGACCGTCTGTACTGGTTTCTATGGTGGTCGCACTGCCAAATAAGAGTTCTTTTTTCTCCCACATCCTTGCTGGATTTGTTATCGTTTGTTTTACTGTTCTTGTATATGACTGTGGCTGTGGGCTGTGTGTTAGGTGAGGAAGTGAAAACCTTAAACATATGTGTGGTTAAGGTCAGTTTCTCTTAGTGGACTGATGACAAAATTATTACATAAGCCCAAGTCTTTGATGGTAATGGTAATGGGTGTTTGTGACATTTCAGTAGCTTTCCCACTGATTTGAGCTGCTTATGGAGTGATAAAGTGTAAGCCGGAGTATAGTGATTAAAGACATTAGATTCGAAGGCAGGGAACTGAAGTTCTTAGAGCCCAGATTTAAACTTTGACATTTTCTAGCCATGAAACCATCAGTGAATAACCTTTAGCTTTCCAAAATTAAAATGCACTCTTATTTATTGAGTACTTTGTATGTCTAAGATTTATGCTAAGCATTTACAAGATAATCTTAGCTACTAGGGATAATGAGGCAGGAGTAACCCAAGATCAAGGCCAGCCTGGGCAAGTTAGTGAAATCCTATCTCAAAATAAAATGCCAAAAGAGGGTGGGAAGGTAGCTTAATGGCAGAACGTTTACTTAGTCTGTGCAAGCCCTTGGGTTCAATTCCCGGCACTGCACATAGCAAACCAAACAAACTGACCAAAAATTTGCAGAGAGTCAAGTAATTCTTTCATACTTAGGAGTATAACTGGACTTGGGAGACAATAGAAAGTCAATGAAACAAAGTGAGTATTTGTGAGCAAGATAAAAGCAGAAGCCTATGCCTTTAATAATCATGCCTCTGGCAATATATACTGCTGAAACCTTTTTTCCACTTAATTCCTCAGTAAGACTGTTGTTTTCTTTTGAGACAGGATCTTCCTATATAGACAAGTCTAGCCTCAAGCTCACTATGTACCCTTGACTGCTCTTGAACTAATGAATCATCACAAGGCTGTCTTTTTGGTACTACCTGTAGTAGTAGTTGATGTTCTGGCAACAGATGACTTTCTAAGCACCTTGAGGGTAAGGGGCACTCATACAATGTTTTGTAATATGTATTATATACATATATGGCTATTTCAGAATATCTCGAAAAGTCCACAAGTGTGAAGAAGAGCGTGAAGAAGAGCTAATCTTCCTGCATGTATGATTGGGATTTGAATTTGAATGCTGTAATGCTGCTGCTCTGGGCTCCTCTTTAGAAGCAGATAAGGGAAGAGAATTCTCAGTAGTCATGGTGGTTAATAATATCACCTCCACCCACCCAGTGGCCTTCGTGTTGATGGGGATTCCAGGCCTGGAGCACCTCCACATTTGGATCTCCATCCCCTTCTGCTCAGCCTATACATTGGCTTTGCTTGGTAACTGCACCCTCCTTCTCATCATCCGAGTTGATGCAGCCCTCCATGAGCCCATGTACCTCTTTCTGGCCATGTTGGCAGCTGTCGATTTAGTCCTTTCCTCTTCAACATTGCCTAAAATGCTTGCCCTGTTCTGGTTCAGAGACCGAGAGATCGGTTTCTATGCCTGTCTGGTCCAGATGTTCTTTCTCCACTCCTTTGCCATCATGGAGTCAGCCATGCTGCTGGCTATGGCCTTTGACCGCTATGTCGCCATCTGCAGACCACTGCACTACACCACGATCCTGACCAAGCCCCTCATCATCAAGATTGGCGTGGCTGCTGTGACCCGGGCTGTGACACTCATGACTCCGCTCCCTTTTCTGTTGCGACGCTTCCACTACTGCCAAGGCACTGCGATCGCCCACTGTTACTGTGAACACATGGCTGTGGTAAGGCTGGCGTGTGGGGACACCTGGTTCAACAACATCTACGGCATTGCTGTGGCCATGTTTATCGTGGTGCTGGACCTGCTGTTTGTTGTCTTGTCTTATATCTTCATCCTTCAGGCAGTTCTCCAGCTTGCCTCCCCGGAGGCCTGCTACAAGGCCTTCGGGACATGTGTGTCTCACATAGGTGCCATCTTAGCCTTCTACACACCTGTCATCATCTCCTCAGTCATGCACCGAGTAGCTCGTCAGACCGCCCCTCATGTCCACATACTTCTTGCTAATTTCTATCTGCTCTTCCCACCCATGGTCAATCCCATCATTTATGGTGTCAAGACTAAGCAGATTCGTGAGCGAGTCTTGGGATTATTCCTCAGAAAGGATGTAAAAGGAGAGTGAGGGACAACTGAAAAAGGGCGTGGTGCCATGCTGGGGACAGGTATGACAGAAAGTAGAGGAACATCAGAATCGTCATGCTTACTTCTCCTGGTATAAGTACAAAATGGTGTCAGAAATTGACAAGAACCACTAGTTTGTGCCCTCTGGATTCAACCTCATCAGCCCTCAGGGTCTTCACTCCTGCCCTCTGTCCTTCAGTACTTGACAGAGTCATGACCTCCTGATCTCTTGGGGACTTCAAATGAAGACAGCAGTGTCCTCAAGTTCATTTACTTATAAGAAGCCTGAGGACTTGCTTTCTATTCCAAGTCACTGGGAATTCTGTGATTTATTTATCCACACACAAGTAGTGTGTATCAGTGTAGAGATCCTTCATCAGAAACAGAGCTGAGGGCAGCTTCTGACTGAACTCTCTCAGTGTCCTGATCTGTCACATTCTAGGACTGCAGGTTCTGGGAATGATAGCCCTGTTTGTTGAAAAGCTATTTCTTTAACTTAAGAAGCCTGTGTATTCTCTGACTTCTGCTTACCTCTCCATCCTCACAGTCAACTGCTCTCATTAAACACTTGGTTGTGAACCGGAGCCTTTAATGGCTGCACCATCTCTCTAGCCCTCATTTAACACTATGAGTAAGACATAGCCTCTGATTTTTCTTTATATGTCATGTGGTTCTTTTTTGCACATATGTAAAAGAATATTATTTTCAATAAGAGTGTAATTTGTGCATTTATCAATCCAGAAGAGAGTTTCTATGGGCTTGGGACATATAGATGTTAAAGTAAGATACCAGGTTTATGCCTGTGTCCTGGGAAGAGAGAGAAAAGGTAATTACAATGGATTCTGTTCTCTGAACTTCCCCATCCCAGGGCCTAGAACATGGAAGAAAAATGAGCAAGATAAAACTGGTAAGTAGGAATATTTGAGCTGCCTTTTCCTTTGTCTCATGTAAATTTATATGCTGGATAATTCTCTCACTGTTAATCTTGACAGTACAATGTGTCTTCTCAGACAAGCTTAACAGAGGCTTCCACAAATGTGTTGTTTCCATTTTATCTTGCAATTATTTGTTTCTTCAAACTGCTACTCAAGAATTATGTATCTTCTTCTCTATAGGGAATGATGTACTATATTTAGTTCTAATGTAATCAAAAGTTTGTGATTTTTCTGTGCATAGTTAGGGCATATGGGAAATTCAAGGTAGCATTAAATAGTAACATATAAACAGTAGCATGAACTCGTTACTTTTGTGTTTTATTTTTTATTGAATTTTTGTGATTTTCATACAATATAATTTGATGGTATTTAGATCCCCTCTCTTATCCCTACCTCCCCTTATTGCCCCCTGCACAATTTACTGTTCTCTAATATATCCCTATCTATCTATCTATCTATCTATCTATCTATCTATCTATCTATCTATCATCTATCTCTATCATCTATCTATCTATCTGTCATCTATTGTATGTATGTATGTATCTACCTTATAATCTATCATCTCTCTATCTATCTATCTATCTATCTATCTATCTATAATCTATATCATCTTCTTCATCATCATCATCTATCTAGCCATCATCTGACCTATACAGTCTAATCTGTGTCTCCAAATGTCCTTCAATATGTGTCCATCCATTGCAGTCTGGTTAATTACCAAGAGTTCCATTCTTGAAAGAGACTGTCTCTGCCCCTCCTAGAAGCCATCTGTTGCTACAATTTACTTAGGTGGGGTGGTGGGGTTGGAGTATCTTACACATTTCCCCATGTCTATGCTGGAATTTTTTCTGGTTTGAGCTTGCATGGCACTTCTGCATGCTGTCACAATTGCTGTGAGTTCATATGAGTAACTGACCAGTTGTCTGGAAAATTCTGTTTCCTTGTGGTAATCCACTACCTCTGGCTCTTACAATCTTTTTACCTCCTCTTCCACAGTGATCCCTGAACCTTGGGAGATAGAATGCCTATATCAAAGAAGTTACTTAAAAAAAAAGATTTATTTTTATTATTTATGTGTGTGTGTGTGTGTGTGTCTGTGTCTGTGTCTGTGTGTGTGTCTGTGTGTGTGTGTGTGTGTGTGTCATGGAGTGTGTCTGTGTCTGTGTGTAGGTATGTAGGTATGTAGGTGTCCTCTGATAATTGAATGTCTGATCCCCTGGAACTGGAGTTATAGGCAGTTAAGAAGCATCCAACATGAGCGCTGTGAACTGAACTTGCAATATGAGTATGCACTCTTAACCAGTCAGCAATCTTTCCAGCCCAAGAAGCTGCTTCTCAGAGATATAATTATTTTCTTTAAACTTACACAAGGAATAGCATCATCTTTCACGTCACACACACACTCCATGAAGAAAGAAGAGTTTTCTTTATAGTATACGTCCAGGAACATAAGGATCCCATAACCAGGTAATGCTTCTGACATCACCATGACCAGGTTTTTCTATTAGCTCATTTGAGTATGGCATCCAAAGTATAAATAAAAAATAGGATCAGATTAAGGAACATATACTTTTAGCCTCATACAAAGAATATGAGATTAGTAAAAAGAAAGCAGTGCGGTAGTTTTGGCTTGGTCACATATTTCCAAGGAGCCCTTTTCTCTTGCATCTGGTATCTATTTTTTAATAGAGAACTGATATGTTGTCAGATATCAGATATGTAGTAACCTCTCACCACATTCTCAGCTCCTGCCTCATTTCAGGGACACCATCCTCTCTTCTCTAATTTAAGGCAACAGATTTTAGCCTCTCACGATGTTGGGGACTCAACCCAAGGGCTTTCATGCTAGGCAAGTGTTCAACCACTGAGCTCTATCTGTGGCCCTACAACAGACTTTGAAGTCATCTGTCTTCTTTTACTGCCACCTCTTTATGTTATTCTATTTATAGATTCTGTATCTGACAAAATAGACTTTAAACCACAACTAGTCAGAAGATATAAGGAAGGTTACTCCTTACTTATTACATGAACAATATGCCAAGAGGATATTATAATTTTAAACATAGACACCAAACACAGGTGCACCCAGTTTCATAAAAGAAATATGACTAGATGTAAAACCACAGATTAACCTTAACCCCTGTGATAGTGAATGACTTTATTATCTCTACTCTCAACAATAGACAAAAACTAAATAGAAAACCATTGCAGTTAAGTGACATCACAAATCAAATGAACCTAACAGACATCTACAGAACACTCTATCCCAAAACTAAAGAATAAGTAATCTTCCCAACAGCCCATGGGACTTTTTCCAAAACTGACCACATATCAGGACACAAAGCATGTCTCGGCAAAGCTGAAATAACATCCTATATTCTGTACGAAATCAGAGAAAACTTAAAAAATGTTAAATTATGTCACTCTACTGCTCAAAACTTGGAATTTTATTCTGAGAGAAAGGAAGAAAACTTCAAAGTCATTGCAATGGCCTGAAGTGTATTGTATGATTCAGATTCCCAGCTAAATTCAGTCAGTGAAAACATAGTAAGAAGTAAACTTAGACACATAATAAAAGTGAAGAGAAAAGAAAAGAAAAAATCTTAGCAGCATCCCAGGCTGAGGACAGGGCACATTAGAGACTCTGAATAAACCACTGACTTTGGCAAAGACAAGGGAAGGAAGAATGCAATCAACTGTATTGACTTAAAAAAATTTACTATTTTTATTTTATGTGTTTGCGTGTATTGCCTGCATGTAGGTAAGTGTACCTATGTTGTGCAATGGCTGCAGAGGACAGAAAAGGCTGTCAGATCCCCTGGGACTGGAGTTACAGACAGTTGTTAGCTGCCATGTGGGTGCTGGGATTCAAACCCAGGTCTTCTGCAAGAACAACCAGTGTTCTTAACCGCGGAGCTATCTCTCCAGCCCCAGCAATCAGCTGCATTGAAATGGGAGAAAGAAAATAGTTGACCATCTAGAAGGGTTTGATTTCTTATAAAAATATCTTTCATGCCAGGCATGGTGGTGCTTGCCTTTAATCCCAGCACTCAGGAGGCAGAGGCAGGTGGATCTCTGTGAGTTCAAGACCAGCCTGGTCTACACAGTGAGCTCTAGACCAGCTGGGGCTACAGGGATACCTTGCCTCAAAAAGGTAAAAAAAAAATCTTTCATGGATGAAGATGACTGGGAATTTCACTAACAAATATTAATGAGATGTTTACCATAGGCTTGAAATAAAGTCAAACCAACAGTAAGTCTTCAAGCAGGAAGAAAATGATTTAACAGAAACATAAGAAGGGAGGCTGGAGAGACGGCTCGGCAGTTAAGAGCACTGGCTGCTCTTTCAGAGGACCTGGGTTCAGTTCTCAGTGCCCACATGGTAGCTAACAATCATCCTTAACTCCAGGTCCAGGGGATCTGAAACCCTCTTCTGACCTCCACAGACAATTGCATGACGTGGGTACACTTGTATACATGCACGCAGTACACTCATATACATAAAATAAAAAACAAAAATTAAAAAAAGAAATGCAAGGAGGCTGGAGGGAATGAGAAACACCAAAAAGACAACATGTAGATAAATAGAGAAGCCCACTGAGCACACAAGAGGAAGGAGCACAAGGCACTGTCACAGTCTTCTCATAGTCTGGCAGTTTCTCCAGTGCAATTATCTGACCCACAGTTACTCTTCACACCTCCTGTTCTTCATCCCTGTCTTAGTTTGTTCTTCATTGCTGTGACAAAACACTCTGACCAGTACCAACTTGGGGAGGAAAGGGTTTATTTGTCTTACATCTCCCAGGTTGCACACAGTTCATCAGGGAGCCCAAGGTAGGAACTCAGGGCAGGAACTTGGAGGCAGGAGCTGGAGCACAAGCCATGGAGGAATGCTGCTTACAGGCTTGCTCCCCTGGCCCCTGCTCAGCC